AAAAATAAAATAACATAAATGTTTTTATTAAACAAACCAATTACCTAAATTTGTATTTATTGTTAAATTTTAAAAAATGTTCCCAAATTAATTTCTATATCGATTACAACCATTTGGAGATCTTTCCAATTTCAAGGTCTGTTATTATATACAATCCAATTAAAAATTGTTTCCATATTGATTCCTACATTAATATACAAAATGCAATAAGGGCTTAGTTGGGGGTATTTTTGGAATCTGAAAAGTACAATAAATCAGATTTTATGCTTAATTAGGTAACTTGCTGAGTTGAATCCTAGTCATGGGTTTTTACTTATACAAATTGGGTATTATTTATAGGAACAAAAAGTAAAGGGTTGTAGGTATGGCAAATTGAATTTGAAGGATGTAAGACAAATTTACTATTGAAATTATTAATTAAATGAGGATAATATGGTAAATTCACACATTTTCATATTAAAAACAAATTAAAATTAAAAGAAAAATTAGACAATGGATCCTATTTTTATGGAACACAACTACCCATTATCTTTTATAATTCTAAAATAAATTTAAATTTTTTTAACAAAAGCCTCTCACAAACGCAGAAGTGCGTGCGGAGAGGCTAGTATATATAATATGAGCCTTATGTTACTCTTATTGTCTCCAATCTCCACCCTTTACTAAAGTCATGCAATAACAAAAAACTTTGGTTGGATTTAGCTTTTATCACCAATAACTACTTCAGACCAATGGCGGATCTAGCCATGTACCGCCTACCCGAAAAATTTCAGAAAAATAAAATATGTATGCAGCTCCCTAAATCCAAGACCATAGAGGCATATGCATGAGAGAGAGAGAGAGAGAGTTTAGTATGTAAATTTTGCCTACCTGACTTTCGAATTCTGAAACTGCCACTACTTCAGACATTCAAATGCTTTAGTCTCTCACTGGAAGATTATCATGTTCGTCTTACAATCCAAATATTAAAGAACATGATCAAGATAGAGACGTGGAGAAGATAATGGTGTCTTTGGAAGAAAGAGAGAAACTGAAAAGAAATGAAAAAAAATGGAAGCGAGACTAAACGGTTGCAACACACGTTAGGTTAGGAAAATTAAAAAAAAAACAAAAACAAAATTGTGAGGCATTTGGATTTTATGTGTGATGTGTCAACATTAGAGTCTCTTAGATGAAGTTTTAATGATGTGACGTGTGAAGAAGAAAAGTTAATCAGATCATAGCAGAAATAATCCAAATAGATGATTAGGATCCTTAAAAAACACTAAACTAACGTTTAGCCCAAAAGTGATAAGTGGAGATGCTAGTTTAATATGATGTGACACACACAGACACTTTTCCTCCTAATGCGTGTGTGTGCTTCTCAAATCAAAAGGGTGTGAAGAGTGCAAGCGTTGCGCGAGTATAAATACCAACTAAAAAAATGTTCACAGCAAGTACCAAGAAGGAAAATATTAACAAGTCAGAGTTCTGACTTCTCTTCTTTCCCAAAAGAGAAAAAAAAAATTCTGAATTCTCTTAGTGGGAGAGCGAGAGAGAATCAAATCACAAATGGAAGCGTTTATCTTTGAGAGGAAGATTAAGCATTACAGCAGCTATCAGAGGATACTCCTAGTTGGAGAAGGAGACTTCTCTTTTTCTGTTTGCTTAGCCAGAGCTTTTGGCTTGGCTGTCAACATGGTTGCTACTTCTCTTGACTCCAGAGGTAATTTTAGATCATCATTGACTTGTGTCAACGTCCAAGTACTTCATTTTTTACTCATTATTTCTGGCCAATTCCTTTGTTTTCAAGCAACCCAGTTTGAAATTTAAATAAAAACATCCAATTTTACTCTAAATTTGGTTACTTTTTTTGTCTGCAATTTGACTCTGTGTTTGGTTTTAGAATTTACATTTTGGTAATGACCCAAAAGAAATAATAGATAGAGGGGATCAAAGATTTTGTCTTTCAAATGAAACAACCTAGAAGGTTCATGATTGAAATACTTTGCATGCTGATTGTAGTGTCATCGATGGTGAAATGATAGATAGAGGGGTCCTATTAATTTTTTGTTTAAACTAGAGGGTTTCTGAATCCTGATTGAAATCATTTGCATCCTAATTGTAGAGTCATTAATGGATAAGTAATAGTTAAAGGGGCCCAAAGATGCAATCTTTTATTTTATTTTAAAAAGAAATTAGAGGGTTCCTTATTGAATCCATTGTATGCTGATTGTAGAGTATCTGATGCTGAAGTATTCAAAAGCTTTGAGCAATGTGAAAGAATTAGAGGCAAGGGGATGTATAGTATTGCATGAGGTGGATGTCCACAGCATGAGCCAACACCCTTTCCTGATTAGATTACGCTTTGATCGCATAATCTATAATTTTCCTCATGCCGGTTACTTGCTTGGTCCCTTTTCTTCTGAACGCAACAGGTTCCAAATTTGGTAAGTTCAAATAAAACATATATGCATCCCTTTTAAAGATCATGGTATATTCTCTATGGTATTTTGTGTTCATCATGTGTTTATTTTAGGGGAAAGGGTTTAGTGTTTAGGATTTATGTTAGAAAGATAGTTAAATAAAGAATTGAAACAATGTAGTTTCGAGCATAAGCAGAACATTAGCACAAAAATGTAAACAGAGGATTTTGAACTCTAAATTAAATTCTTGCATTTGCAGGTTTCATCAGGATTTGATAAGGGGATTCCTAAAAAATGCACGCGAACTGCTGACAGCGATAGGAGAAATTCATGTGACACACAAGACAACATTTCCTTTCAGTGAATGGAAAATAGTGGAGTTAGCACATGAGGTTGAGTTATATCTGGTTGATGAAGAACCGTTCTCACTATGGGATTATCCAGGTTATGAAAATAAGAGAGGAGATGGGATGTGTGATCAAACTTTTCCGGTTGGAATGTGTAGCACCTTCAAATTTACCAAGATGCTCTACCAGTCTAGCCCTTCTTGTTTCCACCTTGGCATTACTGCTTCGGGTCCATGGTCTGGTTATTCTGGAATTAATGGTCCTCACATGGAAAGGTAAGCCTCAGCATATGAATTTTGTTTTCGTTTATTTCAATTTGTTGTGATTTTTCATACTACAATGAGCAAGCGACTTGAAAATGTGCATCATTTTGAAATCTGGCATACGACTGTACCCAATATTTACAGTAATGTTACTGGGAATATGCCAAAATATACAAGTGCTATTGAATATGGCAAGGCTTATAGTTCAAGGGGTAGAGAACTTGAATTTTCTCATGTGCTTGCTTAACTTGTTGAAAGAAAATAAGCACATAAGAAATTTCCAAGTGCTCCAATATCCCAGTCTCATATGGAAAACTTTAAACTTCCACTTTTACATCTTCAACATTAACTTGATTTAGTGCTCCAAAATATCTTACTCTTGTTTTTTTCTTGCAGGCCATTTTGCATATAAAGTGATCTCTACTGCTGGTGAGGAATAGTATCAACAAATATCTTTTTTGTTTGATAGGCATGGGGTTTTTCATTCAAGCATGAGTCCCCTTGTTTATATGCCTAAAACTCGACAAACGTTCAACTCATCAGCTTTATTTTGAATGTCATGTCTTGTGCATTAGGTCATGACTTGGCTGTATCTAGCTCTGTGTATAGGATTTCAGTTTTAAATCATGGACCAAGCTTGTAAGATGAGCTCTTTTGTGGTGAAATGTAGGATGATATCAGTCAAGTACTCTGTTGCTATGTACCTCCTCTAATGTTGACATGCCCTTCTTCATTCAGAAAGCCTTTACCTTTCTATTGCTGGATTAATCTTGTGCTTTGTACAGAGTAGAACAATACTAACATGTCTCACTTTTCGGCCCGCTTCTTGATCCTTGAATCTCTGAGAATATCTTATGAGGTGGTTTCGTGATCCATGTATCACTATGAATTTGTCAACCCCCTCAATGTGAGATTGAGCATCTATCTGAAACCCTACTCCACTAAAAATGTTTGAAATTAATTGGTGTTTCAATTCAGCTTGAATTTAGAAGGTACTTTACCCTGAACATGTATTAGCTAAATGTAGAGTGACTTATTATCAAAATGTAGCTGATATAGAGAATAGAACCTTCCATAATCCCCCCATACACTCTGCCTCAGATGCATGTTATCAAAATCGTTAAAAGCCCCTGCAAAACAAAGGCTGGTTTCTTTTTCAGTTTTGAGTTTTAGGGTTCTTTAGATTTTGTCAAACATAGACAGCCTGGGAAAGAAGGATCCGAATCCTTTGCTTGAATTTTCCCTACTAAAATCTGCTTGACTTTTAATGTGAGGATGCCACCACAATAAAATATAATCCAAGTGCTATACGAATCGCTTATGCTAATAAATAGAATCTAAACAATTTATTATTATCTTCTTCTACTGACCACAATAAATCTCCTTATCATGGGCAAAACCCAATTCGAGAAACTGAAATGGACGCTATGACCATGATAAAATCAAATTGCTCTCGTTTCTTCTTCTACGCTACAAATTAAAATCGCATTTTGTTTTTTTATTAATTGGCTTTTGTAGATCTATCATCTAATAGTTGGGCTTGTTTGATAGGGAGGATTAGACTAGACTGGACTATACCAACAAAATGCTTATATTTGATGGTCATTCAAGCATAATATGGATATGTTGCCTAACTTGGAGGATGAATGGGGACTATCTATAAGAGATTGATGACTAAAACTCTTATTCCCCTAATTCCCTTGAAAATTGGGGGATTATGAGGGATAAGTTTTAGTTATTAACCTCTTATAAATAGTCCTCATTCATCCTCGAAGTTAGACAACAATATCCATATTATACCTTGATTGCTAGTCTAGTTTGGTCCTCCTTATCAAACAAGCCTAAGAAAACAAAATATCTTCATCCAAGATTGGAATAAGAGGAGAAGAAGTGATTCCCCCGTTGATTGCTTTGGATTCAAAACACAGATATTCTCTTTCTTGTTTTTAATATGAGAGAGTGCAAGAAAGGTATTAATTGGGTCTGAAATTAAAAGGAAAACAAATAGAAGACAGGGAAAAAAAAAATAGGGGCAGCAAATGAAAAATAGCTTCTTTGAATTCTAGACTGAGAAGAGAAAGGTAAACCATGATTTTGTCATGTCCATGCGACTAGAGGAAATTGAAGTGTTGAAGTTGTAAATTTAGGCTTTGTAGGTTCTAATTTATGAAGGAGGAGGAGATATAAAGATGTTAGATTCTGGTTTTAAAAATATTTTATTATGTGTTTTCCTTTTTAATAGTATATGTGTTAATTCTTTAATCCCTTTGATTATATTTTATTGAGGTGGCATCCCACAGTAAAAGCCAGGCCAATCCATGCAGAGGAAGCAGAGGAACCGGATCCGGGAAAGAAAACTAGGAGACCTTACAATTACCAAGACGCATGCATGTAAGCCTTCAAACTTGTAATTCTTTGGAAATCATGAATGGGTTAATATGACACACTTGTTCTTGTTAATCCCTATGTGTGCTTTCTTAATCAAACGATTAGGCTAACAGTTGCCCCCTACCCTGCAACTCTTAAGTAGATGATCAAGGAAAATATGAAAAACAAGAGATCTAAATTGGGAGAGAAAACGATTATGCACTATAGCAGCTCTCAGAAGATACTCTTAGTGAGTGAGGGCAACTTCTCCTTTGCTGCTTGCTTAGCCAAAGAATTTGGCTCTGCTGTGAATATGGTTGCAACTTCTTTTGACTCCAAAGGTAACAAGGTAGAAATTGACTGCCATCGTTATTGCACTTGCCACAAGTCAATTTCCTGACTGAATTCATTTACACCTTAACTGCAGAGTCTTTAATGCAGAAGTATTCAAATGTAAAGAGCACTTTGAATGAGTTAAAGGGCAAGGGATGTACGGTGTTGCATGAGGTGGATGTTCATACCATGAGCCAACACCCCCGGCTAATGAATAGACGATTCGATCACATTGTCTTCAATTTTCCTCATGCAGGTTTCATCTTGATGGAACATAACAAGATCCAAATTAAGTAAGTTTAAATAAAGAATAATATGCTACATGGATCATAATATGGTAGACAACAAGAAGGATGTTGGTAATGTCTCTTTTGACTGATGTATTTTTCAGGCTGCATCAGGATTTGGTCAAGGGGTACTTCACCAGTGCACGTGAAATGCTCACAGAAAGTGGAGAAGTTCATGTGACTCACAAGACCAACCATCCTTTCAGTAAGTGGAACATAGTGAAGTTAGCAGAAGAGGTTGGGTTGTTTCTGGTTGAGGAAGCACAGTTCACACGAGGGGATTATCCAGGTTATATAAACAAGAAAGGAAGTGGAAGGAAATGCAACCGTACTTTCCGTGTTGGACAGTGTAGCACCTACAAATTTGCCAAGCTACCACTTCAACCGTACTTTCTGTCTTGAATTCTTAAATTACCTGTGCTCTCTCATCTCTAGGCCTCAGCATGCATATTGTATTCTTGGTGTTTAAATCTTGGTGTGGGGTAACGCGGCAACAAGCCAGCTAGTGAATTGGGTCATTTCTCTCTAAGGAGTTTTCATTTAGCTGAGAATCTTCCTCCTTATAAGATCAACCTACTTGATGGAAGACAACTCTTCTTGTCTGTTGTAGACCCGAATTGTTTATGGGGGATAGCCAAGTGACGGAAGACAATGGCTGCAGTGCAGAAACAGGCCTTTCTTACACCAGTTATATTTTGAATCTCTTATGCTTCCATCCTGTCAAGTACAAAACAGATAAAACATGTTGATTCAAGGAATCAATACCACAAAACAAGTAAACTAAAACAAAACTAAATAGGAGGTGAGCAGAAATTACCTCATGTGGGTAAAGAGTCGTTATTTTGTAAAGCTACTTCTGTTCACCTATTAGCTAATATTGCTTCCTCAATTCTCCTAATTACAACACTAAGACCACTGCCACTTCCTAAAGCTTCAACTGCAGCTCGGTGTGCATTTTTATGCCATTTGAGCAAATTGTAAGATTGTAGAAGGGACCATCTTGCTTGGTTTGACATCTTCTCAAGATAACAATGAAAAGAAAAGGTTTGAAAATTTTAGTATTTTTAGTGAAAGAAGATCACAGAACAACAGAAGATAAGTTATAGAGATACCTCAGCAACAGACAATGGGGGTTGTAGAAGAACACAGATGCTCCTAAATAGATTTTCATCATTTTCTCCACCCTCTGCCTCACCATAAACAAGAGCTTCAGCAGCAACGCCTGCGAAAAGCACCATGCAGTACCTGAACATTATGTACAGAAATTAGTAAATATTGCGCATGTGTTATTACTCTTAAGTCCACAAGACTTCATCTGAAGAACTAATTAAAGCTAGAACTTAGGAAACCTGGGATATTTTGCATAAAATTCAACCTAAAGCAAAGGATAAAACATTTTGCAAAATTCTTCAGCAATCAAAGCTACACATACGGACAAGAACAGATTCCCACATAAGATTAAGACAGAATCTATCTACAGTTCAGTTTCAGCATATTTGCTCAAGGAAAGTAGATACATCACCCTAAAGAGAGTTTTTGTCCTCTTGCAGAGTTTGGAAACAAAACGACCTTATTCAAGAAACCTTACCTGCAATTTCATTTCACACCCACCTGTCAAAAGCAGAGCCATCAAGTCGTCCTTCAGCAAGATCATTGGCCATTTTCTCATCCCAAAATTGAGTTCCTGCCTGTAATATAGTATAGTAATATGAGCTCTCCTTTTGATCCTAACAGCACTGCATTACCATGAAGCTATATGTATGGAATCAAGGAGTACAAGTCAATTGCTATCTACATATCAATAATGAATGATCATCCTAAAACAAGGTCAAGATTTTATATATTGCAACCCAAAAGAATGAATATGAGACTGTGTCTCTCTAAGAAGACGAAGAACCTAAGCACAATGAACAACCCCCATAAGAACTAAATTAATCATTTAGTTACTATCCTCTGAGTTTTCATAAGATTAGACACGTACTTGAACCTGAGTGGCATCCTATGCTAATTCTACTTAAGGAAAGTATTCAATGAAGTCAATTAAAGCAACCCTGCGTGGAAAATTATAGAGGACAAGATGAAAAATGGCAACAGATATATATATGATTGCTCTGTAAAGATGCTGGATATGACCTACCACCATCCATACAATATAGTAAAGAAAGAGCAAGAATCACATTCAAATCTTAAATCCATCCCATAGTAACTTCACATAGGTTTAGAATCTATTAAAATTTTAACATAGAAGGTTTCAACAAACCAAACCAACATACAGATACACACACACATATATAGACATATTTTATCAACATATCTCCATGAATGGTAATTGCTCTAAACACATTATGATGGCATGAATAAATTGGTCAGTGAACAACAAACAAAACCAAGTGATGCCCATATGAAGCACATAGAAGGCAAGAAATTACCTGCCCTTGAATGCCCATTTGCATTGCAACAATTGGATCTAATATCACCCCACGAATTGGGCAACCCATTAGATAAGCTGCAATTTAAAACAGCAATCAGTTAATAGCACAGGGTTTACAATCTTGCAAGGATGTAGCTTTAGTAGAGTCTAGTGGTTGAAGAAAGAAATGTAGTCCTATAGAAGAATTTAAGGAATGGTTCATGCCCTCCGTCCAAACCACAGCATCGCCCAAATTTGTAACATTCAACTCTAAAATACGGATCAGAAAAAAAGAGTGTTTACCTATTAGCAGATGCCCTGCTTCATGAATGAGGATCCGACGTCTATTTGGGGGCCAATAACTTGAGATTTGAGCTAAACAACTACCACCAAGAAAGACAGAATCTGCAAATGCTAGCCCCAATACTGCTGCAAGGTTAGGCCTGAGATCGATGCCTTGAGAAAGAAGAAAAGATATCCCGCCAAGAAAGGCAATCAAAATGGGACCAGAACTTTCAGAAAGGCCCCACTTTTTTGGAGCAAATTTCGTTGCTGGATAAAGTAAGTAAGAAATGGAGTATTAGATCATAAGGAGTCAGGACATGCATTTTGCCTCAGAAAAGAGTATTAGATACAGAACATTTTCCACAAGAGCAGAAAGGTATAAATCTCTAACAATTAGTTATGTACATGAAAAACCATGTCAAAGAAATCGGAATAAACACCTTCTAAACCAGTTGAAGTCTTCAACACTGTTGGTGTAACATCACGCGTTCCCTCCATAACTGCAGGGTTGAAAGAAAAGAAAAACACAGAAAACAACATGAGATAATGGCAAGAGCCCAAAAGTTCAAATGCATCCAAGAGGGCCTTTAAAATGTGTATATCAGAACTGATCAGACCTAAAATTTAACATAATAATGATAACATGCAGGCAGATGGATACATAATTTTTCACTATTAAGACAACCAAAACTACCATCTGACAAAATCAACAAACTTCATGAACAGCCAATTATTGTTGGGCAACAATTAGGATCAAATGGTAAGCAAATTATGCAAATACTCAAGATATCTTATATCAAAATAAGCAAAGTACATTACCAACGTTCCTGAACTTTCCAAAACTGGGCAAGAAACCCTTGTCCTTGAGAAAGCCATAAGCTTTGCCCACCAGCTTCATATTATCAGCATTCAGACACGTGTCCAGGACCTCCCAATCCCTCTCCTGCCCAACAAACCCCAACTCGCCGAGTCGAGGAAGGGTCGGGTCAGCTGGTAAGGACCCATTAACAAACTCAATCGATTTTTGCTGGGTCTCAATGGATTGCAGGAACCTGAGAGCTCCAGCTAGGTCCTTGCGCTTCACTGCCTCCTCATACTCTTTCCATTCTCGAAGAGCGGATCTTGGGACGGTTTGGCGCCTTGAGGTGTGAAGAAATTTGGAGGGTGGTGGTGCACGTGGGGGTGTTTGGAGGAAAAGAAAGGAAAATGGGGAGGAAAATGGCTGGGGTGAGAGAAAGTGAGGGATGGATTTGAGGTTTGGCGAAGCAAAGGCCATGAGAGGCAGACCGTTGGAGAGCAGTTTGTTAATTAGTTAGGTTTTTTCATTGGCTTTGGAAGTTGGGTACGCAGCAGCTGGTTCAATTTCACTACAATCAATTTGAGCCTAGTCCTTATGAACTTTAAATCCTAAATCCTAACCCTCGAATCCATAACAATTAAATAATAGCAATCATAATCCCCGAGCTTTGGATTGAAGAGCTTCCCTCTGGCTGGAGCCAATTGTACAAGATGATATTGTTGTATTCTCTTAATTGTTATCAATAATTTCCTTTTTCACAAGAAAAAAAAATAAAATCCCCTAACTTTGGACTTTGAGTTCAATCTTCACATTTCAAACAAGTCTTGAATGCAAGTCTCCAACTCTAAGCATCAAGCTTCTTACTTCAAATACAAACCTTGAGCTTGGACCTCAATCATGCATCTCAATCTCTGAAGTTTGATCCTAGATTCGAATTCTAAGTAATATGAATGAGAATAAGATGAAATCAAGTTAATAACTTAATTGGATTCCATTATTTGTTTACACATATTGGAAACAAAGTTTGGAATAACATTTGAGAGTAGGGTACCATCTTAGTGGTAGTGTAGAATAACCATTTTCCTTATAGGTTGTATTAGCTACATGTGAATGGTAAAAAAAAAAGAGGGTACATTTGACATGCAAAGTGATATGCTGATGAAAGTATCGAATTCATAACACGCGTATTGGGTATTGAGTTCACCATTCGAGACTTAGGTTTTCTAGAAACTAATTTCATTTCCGTTTCTTTTTCATTCAAAACTAGCTTATTTGTAGAGTAATGTTCGCAGCAGTCGGTTTATATGTGGATGAGTGGTTCTAAGCCAATGTTGTAGTGAGATATGAACTTGCAACAATGACTAGGAAGTCACCCACACGAGCTAGACGACTGTGTCTGTGTGTAGCAAAATCCTCTTTATATACTTTCACAATTTTTTTGGAAAAAAGTAAAAAGAAAGCTTTTAGTACGGATACAACATTTAGAAGAGGACGAGGAAGGAGAGCGAGACCAGGAGAGACTGAAGAGTGTGCATCCAAAAAGTCCAACCAAGGAAGGGCCCATCCATGCTTTTGATGCTGTTGGTGATATTAATTGCTGTGATCATAAGCTCAATAGCACACTTCGCCACTTTTTCTCAATCTCAAAAGCATCGAACATCTTGAACCTCTCCTCAACGATAAGAAAAATCCACAACCCCCACACAATACCCAATCAATCCCATTGTTCTTCCCGTCCACATCTCCCCCAATCAAACTCTCCCATTTCTCACTCCTCACATCCACAAAACCAACCACCCATTAACACTCTCTTCTCTCAGTCAACTTCTCTGTTTACCATTGAAACTTGAACACCACCACCAATAACAACAATGGCTTCTGCCACCACACCCACCACCTTCTCTCTCCTCCAAACCACCACCGCCTCCACCTCCCGCACCCGCTCTTCTCTCTCCCATGTCTCCTTACCCTCTTCTCTCAAACCCACCACTCTCCGCCGCCTCGGCTTCTCCGCAGCCGATCCCCTCTTCGCTCTTCAGGTAGCTTCCAAAGTTCGATCCTTTGGCTCCGGCAAAGCGGTTAGAGGCGTTGTGTCAATGGCGAAGAGGAGCGTTGGAGACCTATCAGCTGCTGACTTGAAGGGGAAGAAGGTGTTTGTCAGGGCTGACTTGAATGTGCCTTTGGATGACAGCCAGAACATCACTGATGATACTAGAATTCGCGCTGCTATTCCCACCATTAAGCATTTGATTGAGAAAGGGGCTAAAGTCATTCTTTCCAGTCATTTGGTATGTGGGTTCTTTAAATAATGTGTTTTTGGTTACTGGGTTTCTTTGTTTTCTCTGATTTTGATGATTAGCAGTCGCTATTTATAGTCTCTTTGTCAACCTTGCTGAAATGGGTATTCTTTGTTATCCTTTCATGATTTGGAGTGAGGCTGAAGTCAATATTTTTAGACATCTGCTATGTCCATTTTAAAGTATATGAGCTTTGTATCTGTGGCTTTTTTGAGAATTGAATTGGTTGTACGTTATTCTGAGTTTATCATTGTGTTAATTTTGGTCGCAGTGGTTCTTTTAGTTTCTACAGTTCATACATATTCAAATTTGATAGCTTTTCTTTGGACCTGTTACAACTTACAATGTATGCTTTCTTTCATCACGTTGATTGAGAATATTATCAATCTCTCTAGCCATTTGTCATGTGAATAAATGAAAGATTCGAGTTTTGGAGAATTTAATTGATCCTATGCACTTGTGAATTTGTCAGTCTCTTTGTTTTAGTTGGGTCTAAAATATATAACTACGATAGCTTTTGCTTTCAATATGTCATAATGTTGATTTGGAAATCCTTTCCTTAAATTGGTTTGACTTCGGTTAGCTGCTACTATGCTCATATGCTTAAGTAAATTATAGGCTGGTATGTGATACGAGCTGAATCAATGTGCATTTTTTCAGGGACGACCAAAAGGTGTGACCCCAAAATTTAGCTTGGCACCTCTTGTACCTCGGCTATCTGAACTTCTTGGGATTCAGGTAGACATTTTGATTCAGGAGTAAATTGGGAATAAGAAGACAAATCAAAATGGCAGTGATGATGAGTGGATATTGAAACTGATTTTGACTACTTCTACTGATATTTGCATATCATAACTGAAACAGGTTGTGAAGGCTGAGGACTCCATTGGTCCAGAAGTAGAAAAGTTGGTGGCTTCACTTCCTGATGGCGGTGTTCTTCTTCTTGAAAATGTGAGGTTTTACAAGGAGGAAGAGAAGAATGATCCTGAGCATGCAAAGAAGCTTGCCTCCTTAGCAGATCTTTATGTCAATGATGCATTCGGTACTGCCCATAGAGCTCACGCCTCAACTGAGGGGGTCACAAAATTCTTGAGGCCATCTGTAGCTGGTTTCCTTTTGCAGAAGGTGAGGGTTCCCATTTTCATTTCTGCTGTAGCAGTAACCTTCAGTTATTCTGCAGTGCTTTTTTAATCCTTAAAGGAATACTTATTTCATAGTTTGAAGCCTTTGATTATATGTTATAACCTATTCCAGCTAATGTTGGATTTAGATTCAAGTGTGCAACTCAAGTTGGCATGGGTAATTGGACTGCATTGCCATTCCTGCAGATGTTTTGCACAGTAGTAATTGCTAAGATATCTCTGTTTAAACTGATTTTCAATTTGTATTTACTTTTAAAAGATTATGAAAGTATAATCTTATTAAAAATCATCAAGCATTGGTCACTCCCTGTGGTGCGAATATCTGGTTTAAGTTTTATTCACTCTTATTTATTCTTCTTAGGAACTCGACTATCTTGTTGGGGCAGTATCAAGTCCAAAAAGACCATTTGCAGCCATTGTTGGTGGTTCAAAGGTCTCATCCAAGATTGGGGTGATTGAGTCACTTCTAGAGAAGGTTGATATCTTACTTCTTGGTGGCGGAATGATTTTCACATTTTACAAGGCACAGGGTCTCTCAGTCGGTTCATCTCTGGTAGAAGAAGACAAACTAGAACTTGCTACATCACTCATTGCGAAGGCCAAGGCAAAAGGAGTGTCTCTTTTGTTACCCACTGATGTTGTAATTGCAGACAAGTTTGCTCCTGATGCAAACAGCAAGGTTTACTTTCTTGACTGACCTTTAACAATTTTATTCTTCAGATTCACAACATAACATTCAATGCTCTATCTCCCTGCTGGAAGCTAGTTGATTGAAACTGATGTTGACTTTAATCCAAATGATGCCACCAATAATAGTAATGTGTTGATATTTTATTAACTATGATCAGCACTTCATGAGAAAGGAATGAAGAATTGGTTTTGTCCTTGCAGATTGTTCCAGCTTCAAGCATCCCTGATGGGTGGATGGGATTGGATATTGGTCCAGACTCTATTAAGACATTCAATGATGCACTGGATACCACTCAAACCATCATTTGGAACGGACCAATGGGAGTATTTGAGTTTGACAAGTTTGCAGAAGGAACAGAGGTATGCAAGGGTCTTTTTCCTGGTATTCACGTTTGTTCATAAACCTGTTTAGAATTGATGTCTGCAATTCCTATATCTGTTCTTCTTACTAATGCATACTGTGTGGATCAGGCATATCTTGTATGGAAGTAAATCCTTTAGAGGCGAGATAGATTGTTCTTGTATTTATTTGTGTACAATCTAACTTAAGTCTGGGCTGCCCTAGTTCCCTGATTAACCTACTTTTTTGCTTTTATGTACACAATGAACTGTACATTGGAAACGAAAGGATTAAGTTTAATTTCTTGAAGTGTACCATACCAGTTAGCACCATTTACCTAAGTTAGTTTGATGTATTTGACCATGTAGTAGAGTTGTGCAAGGGAAGCCTTTAGCTTCTTGCTTGTTATAATGACTCTCTTTGGAATATGGATATGTGGATGGTAATTAAGTTATACCTCTTGCTTGCAGTCTGTTGCAAAGAAGCTTGCAGAACTTAGTGGGAAGGGAGTGACAACAATCATTGGAGGTGGAGATTCTGTTGCTGCAGTGGAGAAGGTAGGAGTTGCGAGTGTGATGAGCCACATATCGACTGGTGGTGGTGCTAGTTTGGAGTTGTTGGAAGGTAAACAACTTCCTGGTGTACTCGCTCTCGACGAAGCCACACCAGTTCCCGTGTAAGAACACATTTTTTTCTCTGTATTCTTTACCTGCCCACCGTGTCGGTGTTTCATTTGAGTCTGTAAGCGAGAGATGACATGTTGTAGGAAGATACGAGTTCTTGTTGTAAATGTTCAATGTTACCTTCGATATAAGGTCCCAATGTCTCTGTATTCCTTGCATCCTACAAAAAAATTTCCATAAGAGATTGCGGGGAGGGATAAAGACAGCCATTCAAGCAATCTAATAAGTTGGTTCTTTGCCATTTATCTTTGTATACTGTGTCAAGGTTCTTGTCTGAATTTGGGCTATACTACTATAATCTTATTCCTAATTACAATCTGTCCCAATGTCTCACATCTCGCATTTTCCCCATAAAATTCATCTGCCTAGAGAAAAATGCTTTGACTTCTGTTGAACACAGAAAAATGCTAGGGACAATGTGCGTGGACGTTTCCCGCTGTTTATACCAGTGGATGCATTGTGAACCTCACTTACATCAACCTACCAAATTCTACGTTATGTTTTCATATTAAATCACTGGTCTGCATTGGTGAAGACCGATTGCTCTTAAGCAAAAGACATGCGTATATAGAAACACCATATGACTCTTCACTACATATGAATAATATCACTTGGTGACGACAAGGGCCATGCACCATACGTTTTCGAAATTTAAATATTAGAGGAAGAAGAAAAAAAAAGACTGACAGAGCAGTCCATGCGGGCATGTACCATGACTCCATTGTCTCCGCACCCGTGTCAGGCTGGCAGCCCATCCCCATCGCAAGTCACGGTCGATCTACAAAAGTCGAACCCCAAAACAAAAGCTTCTTAGACCAACTGCCCTTTTTTTTTTAATTATTATTTTTGCAAACAACCCCTTTTTGTTTATTTATTTGGCCTACAAAAAGTTACCGGCCAACAAAAGGAATAATTCATTCTTTTTATCAAATAGAATAATTCACTCTTTGATGCTCAATCAAATTGTTATTTCTGATCATAAACCTTAAATCATTTTATCATAGTTTTTTTTTTTTGGGGACTCAATTTTTATCATAGCTAACTGGTTCATAGGACACAATTTGGTTTAGGTTCCATTAGGGCAAAAAAAACCTAAGAAGTATTTCGGGACATATGCAAAAAAAACCTAAGTAGTCTCACATTCCTAACAAGGGTTGGGTAATTCAACTTCCTTAAATCGAAAGAAAAAACCAAAATGCAATGTACATTTAAACTATTCTATTATTCTGTCGGCAAAAAAACTTTACATTTTTTTTAACCCCTTCTTGTGATTTGTGGACCACAATATCCCTAACGAGATGATTGAGGGGTATTTTCATCATATGTGCATGCACACTTACATCATATGGTATTTTATTACCATTATATACTAAATGAAAAGTTTGCAAACAAAAAAAGAACACTAAAGATAAATGTGAAACACAATCTCACCTTTACATCTCATGCTTTGTAATAAAGAAACTTACCGACTAATATTTTAATACAATTGAAGATTGAGCCTCCAAACAAAGGATTACCAAGAAAAAGGAGTCTTATATATATATATATATATATAACTGATATTCTATTTTAACTTAATCTAAATTACGGGAATGAAGATTCAAACTCGGATAAAGAGTGGTAAACACATCCACTCTAGCCAACTTAAGTAAGCCCATATTTGCAAGGAAAGTCTTAAATCAAAAGAGCCCAAATAGAAATATTCCACCAAGAAAATGAAAACCTAATTAGCTTATAAAAGAGAGGAAAAATAAAAAAGAGCCTAATTAGAATCCTAAGAATATGCCAAAACATTTTAGGTGAGAAATTGAAAATGAAGACACCACAAAAATCATTTACCGCCAGCCCAAGGTTTCTCTAAGGCCAGACCCACAGAAAGAAGAGTCGAGAATCCTTCAGCTCTTCGTGTTGCCCAAGAATAGCAATAACTAGGTGCGCTCCCAAGAAAACTCGCACGTGCCGTACATACCACGCACCTACCTCTATAAAATCACCTTCTCGACCTCCTCAGTCTTCTTGTCTTTGTTCTTCGATCTGTCACTCAAAAACCCACCACATTTTTTCTGATCTTTGTCACTGTAAGCTCTCAAAATCCAAACTTTCACGCATCTTTGTTTGTATTTAACAAATCCTTGATCTGGGTTCTGATCTTTTTCTGCTATTTTTCGTTTTGTTGAAGGTACTTTTTTCTCTGTGACTGTGATGGCGACCAAGAGGAGCGTGAGTACTTTGAAGGAGGCTGAGTTGAAGGGGAAGAGAGTGTTTGTGAGGGTTGATCTGAATGTTCCTTTGGATGACAACTCCAAAATCACTGATGATACTAGAGTCCGTGCTGCTGTGCCCACCGTCAAGTACTTGCAGGGCCATGGTGCCAAAGTCATCCTCGCTTCTCACTTGGTAAGCCCCGCCTCCCATCAATCCACTCTTTTTCTTACTTTTGTTATCTATTATTACATCTGGGTTTATTTTTTCTGTAACCAAATATTTATGATTGCTTTGATTTGTAGGATTTGTGTGTGATAAGTTTTTTTGTTGTTGAAGTTTTTTTTCCTTTTTCCTATTGGGTTTATGCTGAAAAACCCCTGTTTAGATCCCCTT